AAAGGGAGAAAGTTGCCTTCCACAGTGAGCTCCCGTTCTTGTTCCGATCAAAATGTCTCAGCTTCCGATCAGATAGGAAGGAAGGTCGGAGATGGAGCGAAGTCGGACGGCGTCGGAGGGGAAGGAAGAAAGCGCACGTAAGGGAGAAGGTTACCAAAAAAGCATAAAAGGGAGAAAGTTGCCTTCCACAGTGAGCTCCCGTTCTTGTTCCGATCAAAATGTCTCAGCTTCCGATCAGATAGGAAGGAAGGTCGGAGATGGAGCGAAGTCGGACGGCGTCGGAGGGGAAGGAAGAAAGCGCACGTAAGGGAGAAGGTTATCTCCACACGAGCAAGCTCCCATTCCAGCTTCCGAACAAAATGACGTAACTTCTGGTTGGACAGGAAGGAAGTCGTCAAAGGAGCGACGTCGGACAACCAAGAAGCCGAAGAAACGGCTCGAAAGGGAGAAAGTTTCCCTCACACCGAGCGGCTCCTGTTCTTGCTTCCGATCGAAACGTCATAACGTCCGATCCAACAGGAAGGGAAGTCGCCGAAGGAGCGAAGCCGAGCGACCAGAGAGGGAAAAGAAAAAGCCAGAGGCCGAAGGCCTCATTTCTTCGGACTTTTAACGACTAGAAGAGGAGATCGTGGGGAGAAAGGCGACGACGTGCGGGATGCGACGTTCGAACGTGTGAAGGATGGCGACAACAGGTACGCACGATCTTTTTTTCTTTTTTTTATTGTTTCATTCAGCAGGTCAACAGGAAATACTTGAGTTCGCAAGCAACCCTAAGGGAATACTTGAGTTCACAAGCAAACCTATTACTAATTGGAGACAAAACAGCGAGAAATAAGCCAAAATCTGGGCGAAATCAGCCCCAGAATAATAGATTGCAATTAGGGAAACAAAGAAAAAACATACGAAAGCAAGATACATTGCAGATGAGCATTCCACATGATTTGTATTAACAGATGAGCATTCCACATGCAAGAGTTAAGGGTGGCAATTTTATCCAGGTAATTTGATGGGTCCAAGACATCAAAGAAAACATTCCTTGCAATACAATATTAACCAGAGTAAAGCTTATTTGAAGTAAATATCTCAAAATGTTTCAATTAATAATTACTTTCCATGCAATAATTTAGAAGTTTATTTTCCAAAATCCAAATAACTTCAACACAACTAATGCATGCGTAATACCTAAAACTTTAAAAATGTATAACCAAAAAATTTTTCCAACCACATTTTTTCGCACATTTAAAAAATCATCTAAATTATTTTATAAAATTCTAAATTTCATTTTGAGATATATAGAAGTATACATAAATAATGCAAATATTAATATTTATTGAAAATTTTTCTAATAGAACTATTATCCCAGACTTTTTATTTAACGCTATTGTAGCAGTAGCAAATCTACTAAAGCAATTCCTGCATTTCGAAACAAATACATGACCTACAGTTACCCGGTAATTAGACAGCTATTATAGATTGCACTTAAATATCTATAATTATTTATATACATCCTAAATTGAAGCATTTAACACTTTTTATCTATCTCGTTACCGTAGCTAGAGGCAGAATAAGTAGGTAAGTTGAACCAGAGAAGGATAAAGGAGAAGTGAAGAAGTGGAGGAAATAAAAAGGATGAAGAGAAGATGGGAAGAAGAATGGAAGAAAACAAGAAGAAAAAGAAGAGGAAGAGAAGAAGAAAAGGTGAAGAAGACATTAGAAAACTTTAAGAATCCTATTTTTCGCATTTCTTTCTGCAAATCGAGAATAATTTCAAGAATAGTAGGCTTCAAAGCTTGAACAAGGAGATATTTTTTTAGGTTAATTGATCTAATTTTGAGTGATGAATTTAAGAATTTGTATTGAAATTAAAAAAAATCATTGTTTAGGTGGTTTACAAAAGGACAAGATGTCAAGGCGATAGAAATCAAGAAATTTGTCCCGAATATCCTATAGTCCAAGCAAGATACTGATGCAAGCAAGAAATTAGGAAAAATCTAATTTTTGCTTGCAAGAAGAAAACACTTCCTAGGATAAAAGAAAATACATAAAATATCCCAAACTAGACAAAATACAACAATTTTTATAATATAAAAGACTCTTACAAACTTTGACACAAACACAAAATAAAGACACCTAAAGGAGCTTGCATTCGTCGAGAAGAAAGATACAGGTGGGGTGGTCACTTGCGGCGAGACGAAAGAGATTAGAAGCCGAGATGAAATATAGCTCGCAAGCTATAGAGAGGAGAAGAGATGGGGGACAAAGCTCGCAAGTTATTCCCAAAGAAGAAAAACACCCTCAGGTTTTTATGCCCAAAAATCAGTCATATAACACACTAAAATCTCTCTGAAACAGCCACAAACATCTCCTATATATAGGATAAAAGGGGCAGCCAAACAACAACCATAACACTCTTTAAACCAATTAAAAGGCCAGAAATAATCCCATAACAACACCTGAAAAGACAGCTCAGGAACCGGGTAAAGCAGCCATGGGAAAATAGCTAGGGAAGAAACCGAAAAGGCAGCAGCTGGGGAACCGGAACAGCAGCACAAGGAACCGGGTAACAGCAGCCACGGGAAAGGAGCAGGCGACCAGGAAATCGGGACAGAACAGGGGAAACCGAACAGCCACGGGAAGGGGCAGGAAACAGCCACGGGAAACAACACAGGAAGAAACCGAGGAGACACAAAGGGAGGGGAAAAGGCAAGAAACCAGCTCCACTTAATGAGCTAACATAAAGAATACCTTTTTATATTAATGAGCTAAAGATCAGCTCAAGCATTTATGAGCTAGAACCAAGAAGTCTCCAAAGAACACAGCCCAAACCCAAGCAGCCAAGGCCTAACCCGAGAGGCAACCTGCAGCCCAAAGACCAAAAGAACCCAAATAGCTAGCTCACCCAAAGCTTGCCAAGTCCAAAAGACAATGGAAATGTTTTGACCCCCCCCCCCCTTGCCTACAGCAATTCTCCTCCGGTTGAAAGAACTCATCTCCCAATGAGGTCGCTTGCAAAGAAAATTGATTTTCATCTTCGGAAGATTTCTTTTCCTTAGCGACAATCATCCAATGGACAGAAGAAATTTGCTCCTCGATGATGGCAACAAGTTGAAAAATTATTCTATCCACATATTCCTCCACATTTTGATCTATCTCTGGAACAAAGTCGAAGAAAGGTGATTTAAAAATATCAACTTTACCTTGAGCATTGTAAATGAACCTGTTGTTGACTTCAGGATCGATCATTTAATGGATACAACCAAGACTCAACAAAACCTATAATTAAAACTAACATGACTCACAAACAAAACTCACATGACAACTAACTTGACACCAAAACCTAGGATATACTAACTTGCTCTGTTACAAAATTGATGCAAGCAAGAAATTAGAAAAAAATCTAATTTTTGCTTGCAAGAAAAAATGTTTCCTAGGATAAAAAAATACATAAAATACCCAAAAATAGACAAAATACAATAATTTTTATAAGATAAAAGACTCTTACAAACTTTGACACAAACACAAAATAAAGACACCTAAAGGAGCTTGCATTCGTCGAGAAGAAAGATACAGATGGGGTGGTCACTTGCAACGAGACGAAAGAGATTAGAAGCCGAGACGAAATATAGCTTGCAAGCTATAGAGAGGAGAAGAGATGGGGGACATAGCTCGCAAGCTATTCCCAAAGAAGAAAAAAACCCTCAGGTTTTTATGCCCAAAAATCAGTCATAACACACACTAAAAACTCTCTAGAACAACCACAAAAATCTCCTATATATAGGATAAAAGGAGCAGACAAATAGCCACCATAACACTCTTTAAGCCAATTAAAAGGCCAGAAATAATCCCAAAAAAGCACCTGAAAAGACAGCACATGAACCGGGTAAAGCAGCCATCGGAAAACAGCTAGGGAAGAAACCGAAAAGGCAGCATCTGGGGAACCAGACCAGCAGCACAATGAACCGGGTAAAAGCAGCCACGGGAAAGGAGCGGGTGCCCAGGAAACCAGGACAGAGCAGGGGAAACGAAACAGCCACGGGAAGGGGCAGGAAATAGCCATGGGAAACAGCACAGGAAGAAATCGAGGAGACACAAAGGGAGGGGAAAAGGCAAGAAACCAGCTCCACTTAATGAGCTAACATAAAGAATACCTTTTCATATTAATGAGCTAAATATCAGCTCAAGCATTTATGAGCTAGAACCAAGAAGTCTCCAAAGAACATAACCCAAACCCAAGCAGCCAAGGCCTAACCCGAGAGGCAACTAGCAGCCCAAAGACCAAAAGAACCCAATTAACTAGCTCACCCAAAGCTTGCCAAGTCCAAAAAACAATGGAAATGTTTTGAACCCCCATTTGCCTACATCAGATACTCAATCTAATATTAGGATCAAATTATTTTTAGACCTAATATTTGTTAATTTTTATAATTCCATTTAATCATTATGTCCATGCAATATATTTCTTCATATTGAACATGGCATGATGATATCAACTAGTTTAATGTACTTTTATAGACCCGTCTATTTTTAAAAATTAAAAATAGTTCTAATTAATTCAATTCATAAGATTATTAAATGGAATACAATATTTCTTTAAATACATAGATGTTGACTTTTACATATCAAGTTTATGTTTGACACAATGCTAAGTAATTTTAAATGCCAATGATAATGATATTAAATTTTAAAAAAAAAAAAAACAATGAAAGATCATGCCATGTGAGATAAGTTTGCATGCTATATGGCCTGCATAAGGAGCCGTAAAAGTTTTGCAAGATGAGCCTCCATATAGAAAAAGATAATTCTCGACACTTGATATTAGAAAGTTGGCACTATAAGGTACAACATTGAGATCAAGAGATTATAAATAATTGTTATATTGAATTGTCCAATCTTTATCAATGATTGTTAAAGACAATGTGCTAGATGAGGACCAATAATATATAAATGTATCAAAAGCTTCCATGCATTATATGAAAATTCTACGAAAAATAATTACTAATAATGAAAATGAATGTGATACAAAATTTCATACATTTATTTGAAAAGTAGAATACTCATAATGAATTAAAACTTGACTGATGCACTGCATTTTCTTAAAGATGCTCATGCTCTTTAAAATTAAGTATTTTATTTATTTAAGTATCAAAGCAAGTTTTTTTTTTAAGTTTATCAATAAATTAAGCTAACTATATCTACAAGCATGAATACTCATGATAATGTACCAAAATGCAAATTATTATTTATATTATGTATATTTGATTATGTTAAAATTATTTATTCCGTTGAGAATTTAGCTCATTAAATATTACAATGATCATTTTCCAGGAAAGAAAAATGAGCAAGTGGGACCATAGTCATATGTCCCTCAGTATTATGGATAAATGTATTGTTTTTTATGTAATACAAAAAGAATGTATATTATGTAAATTAAAGGCTTTTTGTATGTATAAATTTGATATCAAATTATTAGCAGCTATGTAGTCAATTCTGATTATTTAAATTATGCACGCTTTTGTATCAATAATTATGATGAATATATTGAAGGATATGATATATTTTGTGACCATTTAAGCAAACTAATTTTCTACTCACTTGATTCATGTTTGAAAGAAAGTTATGGGAGATGTTTCTAGAAATATGTCTGACTAGATTTTTTGCCTTTTTTACTACTCATGGTTGTTAGAGGGGCTAAAAATGAGGTGTGACAACAAGCACATCTTTCCAACATATGAAATGTGCAAAATGAGATATGAATTGAAAACATAAAAAGGCATCATGAATTAATCTCTTTAAATAGGATTGGATAGCATAAGGGTTTGAAATGCCAATCCCAAAATAATTGGAAAAACATGGATGCTAATTAACTTATAAGAGGAACATCAAATATATCTCTTCTCATGAATTCATAGAAACAAAGCACTACAAATATTAAGATTTCAAAATAACAAAAAAAGATAACATTTTACTTTTCTCTATATAATACTACGCAAACCTGAAAATGCTAAATAATTTGCCCATAAAACAGAGTCATAAATAGGCAGTTCAACTTAATAGGACAATATGAGAACACAAACCCATTTGTTCACCATTTAGCATCCTAGCAACTCTTTTGGCAATGCTTTTATCAGCGAACTCGACCCAACTGAGCATTGAATCGTTATATCAGAAATAGGGCAATAGATAAATAAATAAAAAGTAACTAACATTCAAATAGATAAAAATCAAGAGATCCAATACTTATACGAGTTGTTCCTCTAAAAATAGTAACAAACTAGGATAAGCTCAAGTAAAAAATTATTATATTTAAAAAGAACTTAAATAAATACTATTTATTGAATTTCCAATTCAACTGTTAATTTGCTAGCTTCTACCCAAAAATTTTTAATCTGATGGCTAACTGCTGATTTCATCAATTGAGTATCTCGGTGGTCAAATAAATATAAAATAAATATCTTCCACTAAAACTGCTATATTTCAGAGGATGCAGAAAGAAAGAAACACTGTAGAATGGATGTGCATAGGAAAACAAATTCGGTTCTACAAATTAAAGCATCACAAAGAATCTATCCAAGCCACAGAAAAAAGGGAGAGATGTTGAACTACTTACCCTTCTGAAAATTGTTTTCCTCGAAACCCACGAACTTGCTTACGTTGTACTTGGGCATTATGATCTACCATATATGCTAAATTGATTAGCATCATGTGATTGAAAAATTATAGTGAAAAAAAAAATCAAACAATAATCAAAACGAAATTGTATAAAACACATGATATACATGTCTTGAAGTGATTACTGATTACGGGAAAAAACAAAACAAAAATTTCACAGTTTTACGTGAAACTCGATCATCCTCATCCCTTTCTTTATTCAAGAAATACCCAAAATGTTAGAGTACATCAATTAAAATGAAGATATCCAAGGAAAAGTTTGAACTAGGGTTGGGAGAAATCGCACCCGCATTCTTGACTCTACAGAGGTGAGCATGCCCATTAATAGAAGAGTGTGCTCTTAAAACATAACAAACAACTACAAATAGTTGAGCAAATAGACAACTCATACAAAAGTTGATAGTAGTAAAAATCTCCCAGCCATTCTAATCCATGCAATCTCCAAAGAAGAGCATCCAAATTTGCAACTTCAGGTAAAAAAAAAAAACTTTTGAATAATTCTGACGGAATAAAAACAAATATTTTGTTGGATTAAAAGTAGCATATACTTTCTAGCAAGTTTTAAGTCCTTACAAAACATCGACCATTAACTATGGCAACTGTCAAAATCTCAGTCATCCCTTGGCATTTGATCCCACGGTCAGGATGAGAATCCGTGGGAGGCTCACCTGGATCACGTCAATATCCTTCTATATTTGGGTAGCTGAATTAGGAAGGATTATATTGAGGCAATTATGTATCAATTAGAAGTTATTTGTTTCTTTATTAAGACATCTTGTATAGATCTATAAATAGGGATAATTTTGTATAATAATTAGAAGGTATTTTTACCCTTCTCCAATTCTATGAATTGTAACAGCAACTTAAGTAGCAAAAGTCATTTTATATAACAATCCTATGAAAACTCATTAAGTTAACAAAAAACAAAGGAATCAAAAGTGCTTGAATTAAAATTTAATACAATTTTACCATGCTTTCACTGTGGCAAAACCATCTAGTTTAACTCCATGATTCTTAATCTTGGTGATTCAAGCACTAGCCTAGACTCCCATACAAGGTATGGCGTTGCGAAGCAAGGCCAAAGGACCTTGCAAATCTCACAATCAAGAATATTAGGCAAATGCTTAGATTGAGGCGCAAGAAATGAGGCAAGCACCTTGCCATGAATGAAGAGGCAATAGCTCTTGATTTAAACACTAGAGATGAGTTAATTTATTATGCTGAAATTTTGACATGGGCTTAATTTGAAAAGAGCGGCAATATTTAGTAACATGGACATGCATAGAAAACGAGTTTAATAAAACATAGATGCAAGATGTTCAAATTCTAGAGTAGTAAATTTTGTTGAGGCAAGGAGACATGATTGAATATCCATTAAAGGAGATGAAAGCATGGATGGTAACAAAGATTTAATCCACAAAAGAAAATATTTGACTCTACCTAAGCTAACATACTAAAAATTTAATTAGTTTAAGTATGCTTTTTTACACAATCTATTTTGCAAGATTTTAGAATTTAAAATGTAGTGGATCTTGGAAATTCACTATTAATGTGCTGATTACTCTCTCCAAAATTATTTCTCACAATTAAAATAATTCTATTAGGTCATATATATATATAGTTTCATTTCATTCGGAAAAGCACCAAGCATGGTCATTGGATAGCCCATCACCCATGATTCCCAAAGAAGTTCATGCAAACTCAAATTCCAGGTCAAATAGATGAGACTTCACATAATCCTAATTTGCGCTCCACACCCTTATTGTACTGCATATGTTTACTTTTTGTCTAATTTCAACAAGAATTAATAGTTTCATGGTGAAAAAATATTATAAGTTTCTGCATCTTTTAAGCAATTTCTTTACTATGATCTTTTAAGCAATCACGTTCAGAACTATAATTTGGATTTTCATAACAAGACATGCAATTTCCATAATTCAATCCTGGAGTGCAAAACTAGAAACACCTAGTTAATCAATGATGCATTTTGACAAATAGAAGAACCAACAGAGAAAAGATAAGCAAAAGTACTTGAGGACTATTTGATGAATGTTTGTAAAAAACATGTATTTTGAAAATGCAGTTGTTTGGTTATATACAAATCAAATGCAATAAAATATTTTTTTATAATATATTTTAAATGTGTCAAACTATGAAGAGGGGGACAACAATAAGCAAGCATTCTACGCAAATATTGGTACATCAAGAGTGATCTGACGAGTGCAAGTACACAAACAATGGCAAAGATCGAGCAGCACAACAGGCGCAAGCAATGGCATGCACAACGAGGGTTGTGACGACAAGGGCAATGGGGCGACGGTTAGTGTGGGCGCCAGCAACAAAGACAAAGCGAGCATGGCGTAGAATACGGAAATTACAAAATTCAGGCAATTTCCAAATTCATAGGTCATGGAAGTTTTCGAGTATTAAAATCATTCAAGACTTTCCATTCTTTTGTTTTCTTTAAATTAAACATTAAAAAAAAGTTAAAATGTGGGAAATGAAACACAGTACATTCCTAATTCCTAGGACCAAGAAGCCCCTTGATTATTAGTTTGCATCTCCTTCCAAGCACTAATACAAAATGAGATGATTAGATGAACATGGTTAAACCATGCAAAAATTAAATTAAAATAATAATAATTCCTGAATTAATATTTGGGATCAAGCAATATTATTTGTTTTGACTTTGAGAAACACCTAAACAAGAATGATAAAAGAAAAATAGCATGTTACCTTGGGGAACGAGGTATATCCTTTGTAAATCTCCAAACTTAGAGAGGATTTGGCGGAGGCTAGCCGGATCCAAGTGGGGTGGAACCCGACTGAAGTAGCAGATACCACGCCTATCTGTCGAACTGATAAGATCATTTCGTAATCTTTTCTTCTTCCTAGCTCGGATGTCCTCACCCAGCTCCTTTAATTCACTTACATCTTCTGTGCTACGATCGCTAGTTTCGCCCATGCCGGTTTGTGATAGGTTGGTCCTGGTAAGTTCCAGAAAATAGCTCGGAAAAAGCAGCAGTCTAAGGGGCTGTTTGGTATCGGATTTACAGCGGGATTTACGCTAAATCCAGCCAAACAGTTTTTGTGCGCGCGTTAAATCCCGGGATTCAGTAAATCCCGGATTTACGGATATACAGCTTAAATCCGGGATTTAGTAAATCCGAGGGGTAGCCGGATTTAGTAAATCCGAGCGGGATTTACCCGAAGAAGCGCGCGAAAGGGAGAAAGTTACCTTCACAGCCAGAGAGCTCCCGTTCTTGCTTCCGATCAAAATGTCGTAACTTCCGATCCGGGTTGAAGTCGTCGCAGGAGCGAAGGCGAACAGCCACGAAGGAGCCGAAGAGCGACGCCTGCAATCCCTACACCTCCTGCGAAAGCAACGGAGCCGAACAGCAACAACGAAAAGAGAAGATGAAAGGCAACCCTACTCGCTTCTAATATTGATTAACTTAATTAATATAATTTAAATTATTAATACTTAAGTAAATTAATTAGAAGCGACGCCTGCAATCCCTACACCTCCTGCGAAAGCAACGGAGCCGAACAGCAACGACAAAAAGAGAAGATGAAAGGCAGCCCTACTCGCTTCTAATATTGATTAACTTAATTAATATAATTTAAATTATTAATACTTAAGTAAATTAATTAAATAGTTAATTGTATAATTAGTGCATA